GGACCTGGCAGTGCTGGGGGCACGGTTTCACTGATGAGTTTAAAGGTCTTTTCCAACGAAAACGATTCTGTGATTCTGAGGAGAAGCCCCAAGCCCACAGCCATACAGAACACTGGGGTTTATTCCTACAGCACCCTAGGAAAGCAACAGTTTCTGTGGCTGTAGCAGCTCCTCCTGCTCTCAGGTGCCAAATTTTTTCTGTTGGACAGGCAGGGGCAGCTGGGTCTTGAAGTCCATGAAGGGTCGCTCCACCATTACAAGGCAGTTCTCGTCCAGCAGATCCGCAAAGAGCAGGGGCTGAGGGGTGGGGAGGGAGCAGGAGAAGTGAGGGTGGTGCCAGCACCCCCCGGCTCGGGCACCCAGCTCCAGTACGGCACTGGGATCGACTGGGCACAAGAGCAGATGATGCCACAGGTACCACAGGCACAGGGCATCCCCCTGGCACATGCCCAGCAACACCATCACCCACCTGGAATTTCTTGCAGATCTTGAAGGCATGGAGCTGCCGCTGCCGGGCGGTCTCCGGGAGCTGCTTCAGGGCGCTCTGGTTCATCAGGAGGGCACTGTTGGCTGGCATGTGGCTCATGTCGGCCCAGCCGGGGCCACCACTGCTCCCGGCATGGCCGGGGCAGCCGGGCCAGGGAGTTGCCCAGGGCACAAACACAGCCCTCCCGACCAGGCCCGCAGGCTCACCAGGGACTTGTCGAGGACGCAGAACATGTAGACGTCGTGGAGCAGGATGTGTGAGGGGTTCTTGGGGTTGAAGGTGATGTGGGTGATGGGTGAGTCCCTCTCCAGCCAGACCCTGTGCAGCCCACAGTTCTGCACCGTGCGGCTCCAGGCCGTGTACTGCTTGTTGGGGATGCTGAACTCGAACAGCTGGGGAGGCAGAGGGGGGACGGGGCAGCCCGTGAGGTCCAGTCCTCCCTGGCATCAAGCTCTGGCTTGAGCGTGGCACAGGGACAGGCTCCTGCCAGGACAGCGAAGGCCAGCAGGTCCCAACACCTGCCTGGAGCCACATCTCTCCTCTTCTGTGGCCATGGAAAGAGCCACGGGGAAGGGACCAGGGCTACGAGGGCCAGGACCAGGAGAGCTCCTACCTGCTGGTCCGAGTAGGCGATCACGAGGTTGTTGGTGGCGGGGTGGATGGCGATGGCCGACACGGCACAGCTGTACATGGGCACGGTGCAGTGATGCTGCAAGGCAGGACGGTGCTGACCGAGCAACCGGGGCCACCTCCGAGTCCCCCGATCCCTCACGCCCACCCCCAGCCCTGCTCCAGGAACGGGATCCACACACCAAGACCCTCATCACCCTGCCCCCAGGGCAGGGGCAGTGCAGGGGGGTATTCCCATGGCACTCTCTGGCACCTGCTCCTACCTGGAAGCATTTTAGGTTGTAGACGTGGATGGTCCAGTCCCCGCTGGCTGCTGCCAGCCAGTGCCCATCTGCGCTCGGTGCCAGCAGGTAAACGGCCTCAGGGGTCCCTGTGGAGAGGGTTTGGCTTGATCATCTTCCAACCTAAGCCATTCTATGATTCTGAATGTCCTCACCAGCTTTAAAGGGTGCTTGGGCCTGCAAGGAGCCCCAGAGCTGCCCCAGGGGGACACCCAATTTCCCCCACCAATCAGGGCACCCTGCTCCCCAGACTGTGCCAGGCCATGAGAGCAGCACAAATGCAAGGTGGAAGCTTGCAGGGGGACACACTTGGCCCTGCACACACAGTGAGGAGCAGATGTGGAGCCCAAGAACCTCCCCAAACCCCCCAGCTCTCCTCCAGCCCCAACCTGAGGGCGGCCGAAGCGTATGCAAGTGTTTGCAGCCCCCCGGCTCCAGCAGCTGGAGGACGTGGACGGAGCCCCGAGCAGAGGCGACGAAGAGCCTGCCGGAGTCGGCGGAGAACTGGAGCTGGTAGGCTGGGAGCAGCAGCTTGGGCACTTTGGGGACCTTGATGCAGGGAGCCCCCCAGCTCTCCTCCAGCCCCAACCTGAGGGCGGCCGAAGCGTATGCAAGTGTTTGCAGCCCCCCGGCTCCAGCAGCTGGAGGACGTGGACGGAGCCCCGAGCAGAGGCGACGAAGAGCCTGCCGGAGTCGGCGGAGAACTGGAGCTGGTAGGCTGGGAGCAGCAGCTTGGGCACTTTGGGGACCTTGATGCAGGGAGAAAGCAGGGTTTTTTCTCGCTGCCCACAAGCCACGCTGGCCATACCAGCCCCTGGGACCCCGCAGCCACCCACCAGCCCTCCCTGCCACCCCTCACCTTCTTGACGCCGACGCCGTCACCCTCGTGCTGCAGGCGGTAGAGGAGGAAGCGGGAGGCCGTGGAGTAGGCGAGCCAGGCCCCGCAGGGCGAGATGCAGCTGCAGTAGATGTGCTCCGGACCCTGGAAACGCAGAGGGGCCGAGCGGCGCCCGTGAAACCCCCGGCAGGCTGGCACAGGCTCTTGAGGGAGAGTGGAGGGGTTGGCACCGGCCCCGGCACAGCCCTACCTTGCTCTTGAGCTGCACGAGGTGCTCGGGCATGCGGCACAGGGGAAGGACCTCGCCGTCCTTTCCTGGGACAAGAAGCCACGTGACACATCAGGGACTGTGGGGAAACTGCACAGGTCCGGGGAGCGGAGCCCAAGGGAGAGCCCAGATCCTTCCCCACCTCCCTGAGACAGAATTCCCCAGGGCCTGGCTGAGCTGTGCAGGAAGCAGGAGTACAGCCTCACACCAGCCATGTTGCTCATGTCCACGACACGCCA